TCAGGCCAAATTTTATCGCCGTGATACCTTTAGTATCCGTTCGAAGGGAACGTGAATTAAGGTACAGAGAAGGCCCCTTAGTAAACGCACACTCAGGAGAGATCGTTGCAGTGTGGGATAAAACGGAATCTGCCGAACCTGTCATCAGGAGAGCACGCCGGGATATGTTACTACTGTAAGAATAGTTTTAAGCAATGTATTAAAAACAAAATCATAAAAAATTATTTAATTGAAAAATATTCAAAGAACAAAAAAGTTTTACCCAAATATAAAGTGTAGAAGACACATTTTAGTAAGTAAAAAATATCCAAAATATAGGGAAAATAAAAATACCCACACAATAATTACAAAATACACCCTATAATAAAAAATCTAACACCCAAATTATTAGAAGACAACTTCCGAATTCTGAATAACAAAAATTAAAAAAATTAAATTAAACTTTTCGCTGCTCATATATCCATACCCAAAATGACCGAACAAGATTTGACAGACAGACTCGCGAATCTTACCGGACCCTCATCAGCTAGTACCACACAAATAAACACGCGAATCATGACCGAGAGGGACATTGAGGAAAAAATAAAAACGGTCTTAGAGACAAATCTCAGCAGCCTATGTACTAAAGGAAATACTTAATCCAAAATATTTTTCCAAATATACAGATCAAACAATTAAAAGAGAATTAACGCACAATCTTAGTGAGATAGATAAATTACCAGAAAATGTTCGGACACTTAGAGACTTTTTAGGAAACAAAACTGAATATTCGTCATGGAGGAATAGTATCAAGAGGGTGTTAAAAATCTATGAAAACAGAATTGGTTCACCAAAATACAATGGAATTCTTTTAGCAATCCGTAACAAAATTACTAGTCAAGCGGACGCGTTATCCCGGGCCCTTGCAGAAATTAAGTCAATCAGCTCCTCAGCATCAGCCCAAAGCGACGAAAGCTCGTCACACAACCTCATCTTTTCGGCAGAAGCTCCAATTAACGCATTTAAAATCCAATTATTTCTAATGCTGCCGATACAGATTCCCATAGTTTCGAAATGCCATTCCCAACATATCACAGATACATAATTAAACAAAAATCTTACACAGAAGAAAAGCTTACTGCAATTTTAACTAGTAGACTTGACCTTAAGCTTATAAACGGAAGTATTACATCCGAAGCGGTAATGGGAAAAATTCAAAACATTTACCCTACCTATTTTAAATCATACAAGGTAAGGTTCACTAAAAACGAAATAGACGACGTGCCCTCGGAGTCCCAACAAAACGAAATAATTACCCTCGAACAAAAAGAGCAAATAGAGATGAAAAAGAGAACAAATAACAAATTTTGAAGAATTTTTTTTTCCACAACAAAATTCAAGGAATAGTTCAAGCCTGTCAAACTTATAAAGAATCAAAATACGATAGGCACCCCTCAAAATATGTTCAAGTAAAAATTTTAGAGTCAAGAGCATCGGAAGATGTTAAAAATCCATGGAGGGAAATGTTAATTGCTTTCGGTATGACGAAATTGATAATAATGGACAACGAACGATCATTTGGCTCAGCAGCAATAAAGTTTATGTTAGAAAATGAACTCAAAATATCGGTACACGTCACTGCTATGCAAGCATCGACAAGTAACGGACAAATAGAAAGGTTTCATTCAAGCTTATCTGAAATCATGCGGTGTCTCAAAAAAGACAATGGGAGCATATCATTTGAGGATTTAATCTTTAAAGCAGTTCAGGAATATAATAAATCGATACATTCTGTAACAAGAGAAAGACCCATAGATATATTTTTCAGAAGCACAATCTCTAGTTCAACAGTAGACATAGAAAAAAAACGAGAAGAAATAAAAAAGAAAATTAAAAATAAACAAACAGCCGACCTCGAATACCACAATCAAGAAAAAACTTTACCAAAACTTTATAAGCCAGGCGAAACTGTACACGTGAAAATAAATAAAAGGTTAGGAACTAAACTTACACCTAAATACAAAGCCGAGACAGTAGCGGAAAACAAAACGACCACCATTAAGACAAAAACATAACATAAGATCATAATTTTTCAGATTATTGTTACCAACATGCTTGGGGATAACTACAGTCCTCGACTATTCCAATTCATAAATCATCTCATTCGAAACCGGACAAGCGGCTAAACAAGACAGAACATTTAAAATCATCCACATCTTTAACCTACAAAGCTATGAAGAAACTCTGGCGAAGTTAGAAGAATCATTTCATTCACTCACCTCATCTCATCCATTACACCCATATCTTTCGTATGAACTAAAACAGATCCAAACTGATTTACGCATACTGCAAACTAAAAAAAGACAAAAAAGGGCAATAGAAGCAATAGGTTCTGCATGGAAATGGCTGGCGGGATCACCAGATCATCACGTCTATCAGATCTTAGAAGATAAGATAAATGAGCAGTCAGAAAACAACAATAGACAAGTAGTAATTAACAGAATAATTAATAAAAAATAAACCAACTTATTAATGCTACTAATGCAATGTTGAAAATTACCCAGAGCTCGGAAGAAATCGTAAATCAAAAAGCAAATATTTTAAAGTATAAAATTCAATTAATAAAAGAAGAAATATCATAACCAACATAATATACGCAATTGCATGGGCCAAATCTAACACAATATATTCATTTGTACTTACAAACACAGAAACCAAAATAGTGGAGAAAATTTTTAAAAATGAAAACTTATTTTTCAACAAAGAAGAATTATTGGAATTTGCTCGAATCAAATTAGCCACAAATGGCAATGACCTTATTTACATCATTAGCGTCCCAAACATTAAATCAGATAATTGGAGAACTTTAAAAATGAAAGCAATAAAAACAAGAAAGAAAGCAAACTTCGGCAAGCCGAAGTTCATATACCCTTGCAGCTATTGCAAGAATTTAAAATTTTTGAAAACATTGAAATTATGATTTACTGCGTATATGTTTAAAAACATTGAAGCTATGATGATTAGCAGCTCAATTATTTGATAGTTATTTTATATATTTTTATTATTTCTATGGGAGCTATATGATATAGACGTCCGATTTTGATAAAATCTAAACCATAATTTTGAAAAATTTAACCATTGCTATATGTCGAAGAACTGAACAAAAAATTAAAAAACAGAAAAGTTATAATTTTTTTCATTTATTTTTCCGATTGTTCCTATGGGAGCTATATGCTATAGTCGTCCGATTTTGATGAAATTTAAACCGTAATTCTGAAATTTTAACCATTACTAAATGTCGAAGAACTAAACAAAAACTTAAAAGAAAGCAAAGTTATAATTTTTTCATATATTTTTCCGATTGTTCCTATGGGAGCTATATGCTATAGTCGTCCGATCCGGCTCGTTCCGACTTATATACTACCTGCAATAGAAAGACAACTTTTGGGAAAGTTTCATGCAGCTAGCTTTAAAACTGAGAGACTAGTTTGCATATAAACGGACGGACAGACGGACAGACGGACAGACTGACAGACGGACAGACGGACAGACGGACGGACAGACGGACATGGCTAGATCGACTCTACTAGTGATGCTGATCAAGAATATATATACTTTATAGGGTCGGAGATGTCTCCTTCACTGCGTTGCAAACTTCTGACTGAAATTATAATACCCTCTGCAAGGGTATAAAAAGCCCAAATTATCAATGATATAAATTTATGAAATTTTTTTAGAATATAAGAGACAATTATTTGCAATAATTAAACCTTGTGAATCCTATAATGATAAGACAATTTGTAATTAAGAAAATTTGTTAGATTTAAGCAATGATACTGGCGTAAACGCTCTCTTAAACCTTCGAGAATCAGAATGTAAGATTATCAACGATCAATATATACCGGATTTCGAAGAAATAATACCAGGCACCATTCTGCTGAAAAACTTCAATGGACCAGTCTCACTAGATGAAAAACTTCTACAACTGCAAGGCTCTTTCATATAATAATATCGTAATTCGACGGTAACAATTGGCGAAACCATCTTCAAGTCAAGGGAAATCAATGTAGTCAAAACAGAACCTCCGTTATTCCAACTATTGGGAGAAAAGACTAAGTTAGAGGAAGTTCTCTCACTACAAATAGTCGAGGAACTCAACATAAACAACACAAAAGCGTTGGAAAAATTAAGAAGCAAGGCAACCATAGAACCTTCCGTTAACTACGGATCCGCCATCATCCTACTACTACTTATAACAGGATCAATCACGGAACTCCTACGAAGACGTAGGTCAACGGAAAGTACACCAGTTTCCGTGCCAGAAACGCAAAAAAAGCCCACGCATTCCGGACCTGTACTCTCTACTACGTTGCGACCGAGGACAGTCGCGGAGGATTATACAAATTCCCAGACAGAAGAAAAGAGTAAGCATCGATTGCACAACAAACTGCAAATTAATGCCCTCAATAATACAATTTCCCAAACCGAAGAAGAGAGCATTTATTGCACAACTAACAGCAAAGCAGTGCCCTCAATAAAGCTCAAACGAACTTAGCCACGTGCGCTGAGCTTGCACCTTTTGGCCAGCGATCGTGGGAATGCAGAATAGCCAATTTCCAAAGTTGATCGAACTCAACTAAGTGCATACAATAAAAACAATAATTAAAATGCACTGGCCAATTACAAATGCTTTCAGCAACCAATAATATGAAAAAACGTCAGCAGAATCACCAACAGCGGCAGAGACGGCGGCAGCAATAGATCGACGCGTAGCTATAAAAACAATTGTTTAACCTAAGTAAATCAGTTCTTAATCAAACTGAATAAAGAAAAGTTTGATTTTTCATAATCAATCTTTTAACTTATATATGTAATTACTGGCATTTGTCCATGGGAAGTGTGCACCTTTTTTTCCAGCGGCGAGAGCTCTCATTATGCAATTCTGGGCTTAAGAAAAACGAATTATACACTTATATATTTACATATATATGTATATATGTTTGTTTATTGGAAATACAATTTTGTACAAAAATAGCATGCGTTGCTTGCTTTTAAAAATGTGCGAACAAAAAACACACCGGTGAACTAATTTTAGTTTAAATAATAAATTAATAAATTTAATTGGTTATAAAGACTTTTTTCTTATACAAAATATATATGAAAAGCGTTCACAATATACTGAAAGTGAAAATTATTAGGTGCAATCGTCGGTGCGCTGTCCAGGAATTCCTCGCAGCTCCTGATTAATGGTCCGTAGCAATGGGTGCTTACCACAGCCGCATCGGCCGCGGAAGTCGTCTAAGTCAAGAGCCCAGACCATGCCGCCACCCAGACGCAATCTCCTAATAAATTGCGCCTTTCGCCGAATGTCTGACACATCGTCGTATGATATCCATTGGTTGCCACTGTAAGCGTAGGGTCCAACACGACCTGGTTCGTCCCTTACTACTGTCCAGCCGCCGTTTCCGACCTTTTCGCAGATCTCATAGTATGCTAAAAATCCACCTGCGCGAGTGTATGTGCCTGCCAACCCCGGGCCTACGCACTTGTCGTTTAGCGACCGGTGCTTTTGGTCAGCCAGGGAAAAAGACTGGCCGTACATTGGCATTCCCATAACCAGCTTGCTTGCGGGAGTGCCCAGGTCTAGCCAGTAGTGAATGCTAAAGTTTGCGTTGAAGTGTGGATTGGCGTCACCCTCTACTTGGTACAGCGGAGCCACATGACCCGTCTGTTTATCCCAGTGACCATGGAAGTCGTACGTCATCACGGCAATCCAGTCAAGGTACCGCGATAGTTCGGGCACATCGTATCCTGCGTCGATTACCATTTTACTGGGCGACACCGCTGCTGAAAGGATCAGGCCCTTAGGATTAAAGGCTTGGAACAGTTCCTTAACCAAAGCAGCAAATCCCTGCTTTTCGGCGGGAGTCCCCTTGGAGCATTCAACCTGCCAGCATACCGGGTACTCCCAGTCCAAGTCTAGACCGTCAAAGCCGTATTTCTCTACAAATTTCAGCGCGCTTTCTACAAAACGCGCCCGAGCTTGTGAATCAAGTACCAGGCGCGCGTACTTGTTGCCTAGCGAGTCGTTCCATCCACCGATAGCCACCGATACGCGAAGACCCTTCTGCTTGTACTGCACCACGCGATCGTAAAATCTGTTATCAATGTCCGCCCAGATGTCGTGCGCTTTGATTGTTAGCGAGTGGCTATCGAGAACCGCAAAGCCGTAGACAATGTGCGTACACAGGTTGTCGTCTATGTCCTCAGGCACATACTTGCCCTGGCCCGGTCGATACCAGGCCCAGTTGGTGAAGTAGCAGATAACTTTGTATGCCTCGCTACTGCCTGACTGAGCATCTGTTGTCGGTATTGGACGTGGGATGGAATTCTTGTTAGGTACGATTAAAGGCTTGTCCGTTGCTGGTGACGTGGGCTTGGGGCGATGGATTGCTGGTGATTGGGTGGTCTGTTGTGATCGCTCAGAGCACTTCACATTGTTCGGCCAGTCGCAGTAGTTCTCATTCCACTTAAGACCCGCAGGACAGCTGAAAAGAGTCACTCATTAAAATATACTTGTGGGAACTTTATCTTTATATTCAGGTTTCTATAAGACACAATAGTGGATTTGTACAATTTTATCTGCATGATTGCATGACGCAAAATAATCTAGATCTTAAGATGGTTAAGGGCTGTCCAAATATATAGTAATCGCGATTTTTCGAATGTTTGAAAAACAAAAATGTTGCTAAAACTAAAGTTCCGACACTATAAATTAGTTCTTAGCAAGATAGGAAGCAAACATCGGCAAGCCGAAGTTCATATACCCTTGCCGCTATTGCAAAATCTAAATATTCTTGAAAACAATAAAATTATGATTTATTTGCGTATATGTTTAAAAACATTGAAGCTAAGATGATTTGCAGCTTAATTATTCGATAGTTCCTATGGCAGCTATATGATATCGTTTTCCGATTTTAATAAAATTAAAAGCGTAATTCTAAACTGTCAAATTATTAATAAGTCAAAAAGAATTTAAAAAAAATTACAAAATAGAAAAGTTACATTAAAAAAATATTTATATATTTTTAATGTTTCTATTGGAGCAATATGATATAGTCGTCCGATTTTTTGAAATTAAAACCGTACTTCTGAAATATTTAACCATTACTATACGTCGAACAACTAAAAAAAAATATTAAAACACAGCTAAGTTATAAATTATTTTTATTTATTTTTCCGATTGTTCCTATACGAGCTATATGCTATAGTCGTCCGATCCGGCACGTTCCGACTTATATACTACCTGCAACAGAAAGACAACTTTTGGGAGTATCATTCAGTTAGCTTTAAAACTGAGAGCCTAGTTTGCGTAGAAACGGACAGACAGACGGTCAGACGGACGGACGGACAGACGGACGCACAGACGGACGGACAGACGGACGTTCAGACGGACATGGCTAGATCGACCTTGCTAGTGATGCTGACCAAGAATATATATACTTTATAGGGTCGGAAATGTTTCCTTCACTGCGTTGCAAACTTCTGACTGAAATTATAATGCCATCTGCAGGACTATAAAAATTACACACCTAAAAACCGACATAAGTTTTATCGATTTATCTTGATGATATTTAGAACGGTTAAAGAACCGTTAAAGTAAAATAAGCTTTAATGATATTCAGCTCAATTATCGGGTCGTTCCTTTGACAGCTATATGATATCGTTGAGCGATTTCTATTTATTATATTTAAAAGAAATTAAAAAAAAAAAAACTTAAAAGCAAGCAAACTTCGGCAAGCCGAAGTTAATATACCCTTGCAGCTATTTCAAAAACTAAATACTCTTGAAAACGTTAAAATTATGATTTACTTGCGTGTATGTTTAAAAACATTGAAGCTATAATGATTTGCAGGTTAATTATTCGATAGTTCCTATGGCGGCTATACGATTGTTCCTATTGGAGCTATATGCTATAGTCGTCCGATTTTGATGAATTTTAAACCGTGATTCTGAAATATCTAAACATTACTATATCTCGAAGAACTGGAAAAAAAATTAAAAAACACCAAAGTTATAATTTTTTGTTATTTATTTTTATGATTGTTCCTATGGGAGCTATATGCTATAGTCGTCCGATTTTGACGAAATTTAAACCGTAATTCTGAAATGTTTAACAATTACTATATCTCGAAGAACTAACAAAAAAATTAAAAAACACCAAAGTTATAATTTTGTTATTTATTTTTATGATTGTTCCTATGGGAGCTATATGCTATAGTCGTCCGATTTTGACGAAATTTAAACCGTAATTCTGAAATATTTAACAATTACTATGTATATATATCTCGACATTGAAGCTATAATGATTTGCAGGTTAATTATTCGATAGTTCCTATGGCGGCTATACGATTGTTCCTATTGGAGCTATATGCTATAGTCGTCCGATTTTGATGAATTTTAAACCGTGATTCTGAAATATCTAAACATTACTATATCTCGAAGAACTGGAAAAAAAATTAAAAAACACCAAAGTTATAATTTTTTGTTATTTATTTTTATGATTGTTCCTATGGGAGCTATATGCTATAGTCGTCCGATTTTGACGAAATTTAAACCGTAATTCTGAAATATTTAACAATTACTATATCTCGAAGAACTAAAAAAAAATTAAAAAACACCAAAGTTATAATTTTTTTTTATTTATTTTTCCGATTGTTCCTATGGGAGCTATATGCTATAGTCGGCCGATCCGGCTCGTTCCGACTTATATACTACCTGCAACAGAAAGACAACTTTTGGGAGTATCATTCAGTTAGTTTTAAAACTGAGAGCCTAGTTTGCGTAGAAACGGACAGACAGACGGACGGACGGACGCACAGACGGACGGACAGACGGACGTTCAGACGGACATGGCTAGATCGACCTTGCTAGTGATGCTGACCAAGAATATATATACTTTATAGGGTCGGAAATGTTTCCTTCACTGCGTTGCAAACTTCTGACTGAAATTATAATGCCATCTGCAGGACTATAAAAATTACACACCTAAAAACCGACATAAGTTTTATCGATTTATCTTGACGATATTTAGAACGGTTAAAGAACCGTTAAAGTAAAATAAGCTTTAATGATATTCAGCTCAATTATCGGGTCGTTCCTTTGACAGCTATATGATATCGTTGAGCGATTTCTATTTATTATATTTAAAAGAAATTAAAAAAAAAAAACTAAAAAGCAAGCAAACTTCGGCAAGCCGAAGTTAATATACCCTTGCAGCTATTTCAAAAACTAAATACTCTTGAAAACGTTAAAATTATGATTTACTTGCGTGTATGTTTAAAAACATTGAAGCTATAATGATTTGCAGGTTAATTATTCGATAGTTCCTATGGCGGCTATACGATTGTTCCTATTGGAGCTATATGCTATAGTCGTCCGATTTTGATGAATTTTAAACCGTGATTCTGAAATATCTAAACATTACTATATCTCGAAGAACTGGAAAAAAAATTAAAAAACACCAAAGTTATAATTTTTTGTTATTTATTTTTATGATTGTTCCTATGGGAGCTATATGCTATAGTCGTCCGATTTTGACGAAATTTAAACCGTAATTCTGAAATATTTAACAATTACTATATCTCGAAGAACTAAAAAAAAATTAAAAAACACCAAAGTTATAATTTTTTTTTATTTATTTTTCCGATTGTTCCTATGGGAGCTATATGCTATAGTCGGCCGATCCGGCTCGTTCCGACTTATATACTACCTGCAATAGAAAGACAACTTTTGGGAAAGTTTCATGCAGATAGCTTTAAAACTGAGAGACTAGTTAGCGTAGAAACGGACGGACAGACGGACAGACGGACGGACGGACGGACGGACAGACGGACATGGCTAGATCGACTCCCCTAGTGATGCTGATCAAGAATATATATACTTTATAGGGTCGGAGATGTCTCCTTCACTGCGTTGCAAACTTCTGACTGAAATTATAATACCCTCTGCAAGGGTATAAAAATAGAGAAGTAAAAATTTTTGTTTACATTTATTTTTTTTTTATTCCGATTTTTCCAATAGGAGCTAGATTTTGTAGAAACGGTCAGACGGACTGACATGGCAAACCCGATTCTACTTGTGATGCTGATCAAGAATATATATACCTTGTAGGGTCGGAAATGTTTGCTTCACTGCGCTAAAAACTTTTGACTAAAATTAAAGTAGAAAACGTAATGTGCACTTTAAAAAAATTTAGTTTCCACATAACAGGGTAAGTTTTCGACTTTAATTTAAGATTATTGTTTCAAAAACATATAGAGAAATAACGGGACTATTGGCTGTCTACCGAGGCTCCAAAAAAGGTAGGAAGATGGTAGGACCATTTAAGATGATTGAGTGTTAATTTGAAACTGATCGCTCAACTTTAAGTCGAGCTAGGATGACAGCAGTTTTCAAAAATGAAGATTCGAGATAAAAGCTGTTCAAGTTTCAGGTGCAGCGGTACATGCCTGCGAGCATTAGCTCTTTAGAACGCATTTTAGGTACGACCGTGCCGCTTTCATAGCATATTTTTGAAATTGTAAACCATTGATTGGGGCAAAAAAAATTTGCAAACCTATGGTATAGGTAACAATTAATAATACAATAACAAAATTTATGTTTAATGTTTAAAATTGATTCCATTAAATATATATTTTTTAGAGATACTTAAGGATCGAAGAAATTATATAAAATAAGATATTTCAACAGTGAAAGCATATTTCAAAAAATTCAAGTTGAAAATTTATCTGTCTGTTTAAATACTTTTCACAGTCGTCCCAGAACTTGTGTACGCAGATTAAGTTTGACAAGCGATCGGACGTTTATATCCTATAGCTCCCATTGGATATAACTTGGAAAAATTCAAGATATTTCTCGCAGTGTAAAAGCTATGACATTCATCTTTCCAAATCCTTAAAGAGCGTGCGATTCGACTTCTATATCCTATAGCTCCCATAGGAACAATAGAGTGAGATCGGTTAAAATTTTATGTTTTTCAGGATATATAAGCTATATTTCCAAGTCGTATTTTTTTATGCATATCTTCATCAAAGTAAAAGCGCGTGCCGATCGGACGTCTATTTAAGCTCGAATTTAAAAGTCAGAATAAATAAAACATTAAGTGTGGTTGGACGGCCTTTACTGTCCTTTCTATCGAAAAAATATAGAACGTAATGAAACGAAGCGACAGATCTAGCATGCCTTCAGGTGGGCAATGTTAGAGTACATATTCGAATTGCAAGTTTAGCTGCTCGAAAGCGCGCTTAGCCCGTAAAAAAACCCGTAACCCCGCCCATTTTTTGTTTAAACTTTGTTTTCCGTATCATAGACTTTATTTAAAAACAAAACCTGAGAAAATTGCTTTCTTTTTAAGTTATTAATAATGCCACAAAAAGTCGTTTGCAATAGTATTGGTATTTGCTTAGCCATAATCAGAATTTGCGCACACGTGCTCTACTTCGTACTGCTGGTGTCAGTGTCTATCGTCGAGACACAAAGCACTTCT